AAGGAGGTAAAGACCTGTACTCAGAAAACTATAAGACACTGGTGAAAGAAATCAAAGATGGCACAAACAGATGGAGAGAGATACCATGTTCTAGGATAGGAAGAATCAATATTGTGAAAATAACTATACTACCCAAAGCAATCTACAGATTCAATGCAATCCCTATCAAATTACCAATGGCATTTTTCACAGAACTAGAACAAAAAATTTTACAATTTGTATGGAGATACAAAAGACCCCGAATAGCCAAAGCAATCTTGAGAAAGAAAAATGGAGCTAGAGAAATCAGACTTCCTGACTTCAGACTATACTACAAAGCTACAGTAATCAAGACAATACGGTACTGGCACACAAACAGAAATATAATCAATGGAAATGGATAGAAAGCCCAGAGATAAACCCATGAATCTGGTCAACTCATCTATGACAAATGAGGCAAGGATATGTAATGGAGAAAAGACAGTCTCTTCAATAAGTGGTGCTGGGAACACTGGACAGCTATATGTAAAAGAATGAAGTTAGAACACCCCCTAACACCATACACAAAAATAAACTCAAAATGGATGAAAGACCTAAATGTAAGACCGGACACTATAAAACTCTTAGAGGAAAACATAGGAAGAACATGCTATGACATAAATCACAGCAAGATTTTTTTGACCCACCTCCTAGAGTAATGGAAATAAAAACAGAAATAAACAAATGGGACCTAATGCAGCTTAAAAGCTTTTTCACAGTAAAGGAAACTATAAACAAGATGAAAAGACAACCCTTAGAATGGGAGAAAATAATTGAAAACAAATGAACAGACAAAGGATTAATTTCCAAAATATACAAATAGCTCATGCAGCTCAATATCAAAAAAACAAACAACTCAATCCAAAAATGGGTGGAAGACCTAAATAGACATTTCTGCAAAGAAGATATACAGGTGGCCAAGAGGCAAATGAAAAGCTGCTCAACATCACTAATAGAGAAATGCAAATCAAAACTTCAATGAGGTATTACCTCACACCAGTTAGAGTGGACATCACCAGAAAATCTACAAACAACAAATGCTGGAGAGGGTGTGGAGAAAAGGGAACCCTCTTGTACTGCTGGGAATGTAAATTGATACAGCCACTATGGAGAACAGTATAGGGGTTCGTTAAAAAACTACAAATAGAATTACTGTTTGATCCAGAAATCCTGGGCACATATCCAGACACAACTATAATTCAAGAAGACACATGCAACCCTATAGCCAAGACATGGAAACAACCTAAACGTCCATCAACAGATAAATGGATAAAGAAGATGTGGTATAGATATACAATGGAATACTACTCAGCCATAAAAAGGAATGAAATAATGCCATTTGCAGCAACATGGACACAACCAGAGATTATCATACGAAGTGAAGTAAGTCAGAAAGTGAAAGACAAATACCATTATGTTATCACTTAAATGTAGTATCTAATACAAATGAACCTATCTACAAAACAGAAACAGAATCAAGGACGTAGAGAACAGACTTGTGGTTGCCAAGGGGAAGGGGGTGGGGGAGGGGTGGACTGGGAGTTTGCGGTTAGCAGATGCAAACTATTATACATAGGATGGATAAACAACAAGGTCCTACTGTATAGCACAGGGAACTACATTCAACATCCTATGATAAACCATAAAGGAAAAAATATTAAAAAAAGAATGTGTATATATGTATAACTGAATCACTTTGCTGTAGAGCAGAAATTAATACAACATTGTAAATCAGCTATACTTCAATAAAAAAATAAATTAAAATAAAATCTATGCCCCGCAAAGGCACTAGGCCCAGACTGTTACATGGGTGAATTTGTCTCAATAAAACGAATAATCTCTATTTTATTCCTAGATATTAAAAAGGAAAAGGCCCCTAACTCATTCTGCGAGGTGAGCACAAACACATACACACCAAATGCTACAAGCTGGGTTCTATGGGCCAAATCTTTCTTGCCAATTATGTTTAGATAGCATTTTTTAATGCCGAATAGAAATGTTATGAGACCCAACATCCATTCTCCTCTTACCACAGTCCCCTCTTCTCTCTTTGTGAACCTCATCTACTCCACTTGACTCAACTTTTTAAAACAAATTTGGCTCCTCTAGGCATTTGAGTTTACAATTCTTACCACATACCAATTTCACTTGTGAATATGAAATTTTAAATTCTACCAAAATCTTAGCAAATCAAATCTAGCAGAGCAAAAGAACAAGGCATTATAACTAAACAGAGCTTAGATTACAACTAACTTATCATTAGAAAATTAATTCACAGTAGTCAGTATATTAATATATTAAAGAACCAAAAAATGGGGGAAAAAAGAAGTGGTATATCAATGAATCATTTAATACAGAGATTCTCAGCCTTTGGGGATCCATGGATGGGCTCCAAAGAGTCCATGACAACTTGCAATTCTAAGCACAATATTGGTGTACGGGTGGCGAGTTTCACAGACACATTAATTCTCAAAGAAGTCCACAATTCATGAATCCTTTCATATGTTGCAGCATTATAATAGACTACTCTGAATTAAAATGATATTGCTGAAGGCCACGCTAAAAACAGGACAGAAGAATATATAATATCAATATTCATACCGATCCATTTTTAAGACAGATTCTTAAATTCGACTTCATTAAAAAGCATGACAGGCATACAATTGTTACTACAAATTGAAGGTTTCTGGTAACCCTGCATCAAGCAAGTCTATCAGTGCCATTTCCAACAGCATTTGCTCATTCTGTGTCTGGGTCACATTTTGGTAATTTATGCAGTAATTCAAATTTTTAACTATTATGCTTGTTATGGTGATCTGTAATCAGTGATCTTTGATATTATTACTGTAATTGTTTTGTGGCACCACAAAGCCATCCATACAAGATGGCAAACGTAATCCATACGTGTTGTGTGTGTTCTGACTGCTCCACTAACCAACCATTCCCCCATCTCCCTCCCTCCAGACCTCCCTGTTCCCTGAGACACACAGTATTGAAAGTAGGCCAATTTCGTGTTCAAGGGAAAGGAAGAGTACGGGTCTCTCATTTAAAGCAAAAGCTAGAAATGATTAAGCTTAGCGAGGAAGGCACGTCAAAACCCAAGACAGGCCCAAAGCTAGGCCTCTTTCACCAGGCAGTTAGCCAAGTTGTGAATGCAAAGGAAAAATTCTTGAAGAAAACAGAAAGTGTTACTCCAGTGAACACATGAATGATAAGAAAGCAAAACAGCCTTATTGCTGATATGGAGAAGTTCTGGATAGAAGATCAAAACAGCCACGGACTCTCTTAAGCCAGAGCCTATTCCAGAGCAGGGCCCTAACTCTCTTCAATTCTATGAAGGCTGAGAGAGGTGAGGAAGCTGCAGAAGAAATGTTCGAAGCCAGCAGAGGTTGGTTCATGGGAGTTAAGGAAAGAAGCCGTCTCCATAACATCAAAGAGCAAAGTGAAGTAGCAAGTGCTGACGTATAATAGAAGCTGCAGCAAGTTATCTAGAAGATCTAGCTAAGATAATTTAAAAAGGGGGCTACGCCAAACAACAGACTTTCAACGTATGAAACAGCCTTCTATTGGAAGAAGACACCATCTAGGGCTTTCACAGCTAAGGAGAAATGAATGCCTGGCTTCAAAGCTTCACAGGACAAGCTGACTCTCTTGTTAAGGGCTATTGTACTTGGCTTTAAGTTGCTCATTTAGCAATATGCTGATTTACCATTCTGAAAATCTGAGGACCCTGAAAGATGATGCTCAATCTACTCTGCCTATCTCTATCAATGGCACAACAAAGCCTATATGACAGCACAGCTGTTTACAACATGGTTTGCTGAATATTTTAAAACCACTGTTGAGACCTATTGCTCAGAAAAGGAAGATTTCTTTCAAAATATGACTGCTCACTGGCAACACACCTGGTCAACCCAAGAGCTCTGATGGAGATGCACAACAAGATTAATGACGTTTTCATGCCTCCTAACACAACATCCATTCTGCAGCCGTGGATCAAGGAGTAATTTTGACTTTCAAGTGTTATTATTTAAGAAATACACTTTGTAAGGCTATAGCTAGAAATTCCTCTACAGGATCTGGGCAAATTCAACTGAAAACCTTTTGGAAAGGATTCACCATTCTAGATGCCATGAAGAACATTCATGATTCATGGGAAGAGGTCAAAGTATCAACATGCACAGGAGTTTGGAAGAAGTTGATTCCAGCCCTCATGGATGACTTGAGGGGTTCAAGACTCCAGTGGAGGAAGAAACAGCAGGTGTGGTGGAAATAGCAAGAGAACGAGAATTAGAAGTGGAGCCTGAAGATGTGACAGAATTGCTTCAATCTCATGATAAAACCTGAACAGATAAGGAGTTGCTTTCTACAGTTGAGCAAACAAAGGGGTTTCTTGAGATGGAATCTACTCCTGGTGAAGATGCTGTAAAGACTGCTGAAATGGTAACAAAGAATTGAGAACATCACATAAATTTAGTTGATAAAGCAATGGCAGAGTTTCAGAGAATTGACTCCAGTTTTGAAAGAAGTTTTACTGTGGGTAAAATGCTATCAAACAGCCTTGCATGCTACAGAAAAACAGCTCCTAAAAGGAAGAGTCGATCGATGTGGCAAACTTGGTCGCTGTCTCATTTTGAGAAATTCCCATGGCCACCCCAGCCCTCAGCAGCCACCACCCTGATCAGTCGGCAGCATCAACATCGAGGCACAGCCCTCCAGCAGCAAAGAAATTATGACTCGCTGAAGGCTCAGATAATGATTAGCCATTTTTACCAATGAAGTATTTTTTAAATTAAGGTATGTACATTGTTTTTTAAGACATAATGCTATTGTACACTTAATAGACTACAGTATAGTGTAAACGTAGCTTTTCTATGCACTGGGAAACCAAAAATTCATGTGACTAGCTTTATCGCAATATTCTCTCTATTGTGGTATCTGGAACCGATCCTGCAACATCTCCAAGGTATGTCTGAACTTACTTCGAAGACAATCCTTCGGATGTTTTTCACATACAGTGTCACATAATCATCGATGTAGGTGGACAGGTTGCTGGACTGTATATCATACCAATTCAACATCAAAGCTGCTTCATTTTCATTATTTCCACTCCATGTGATGACGGAGGGATGAGATTTCAGTCTCCTGACCTAAAATTGAAGAAAACATAAAATAATTTTCAAATGCTCAACATAAGAGAGCTCAGAGCTGTAATTACTCATAAAGTTACAGCCATTGTCTTTCTGCACATGTATTTTTATGTGCCAGGAACTCATCAGAAAATGAGCAGTAATGTTACATGTGGGAAGACCTTTTAAGAAATCGCTGAGATTCTTTTTATCTAGATTTTATAAACATTGAGAAAATAGGGTTCCTCTTCTCGCCATATAACTAAAGAAATTGTAATCCCTTTCATTAAAAGAGAAAAATAAATCAACCTCATCGTTATCTGACTTGCCACAAAAAGGTTCTAAGAAATACAAAAGGCAGGAGAAGTTACGTTACAAGGCTTAGCTTCTCAAGAGCAAGTTGGAGTTTTCTGTGAAGAAAGAAATGAGGCAGAACAAACACTACCGCTGAGAGAGGAACTGAAGTTCCCACACAGTTTCCACCAAGATCAGAAAACCAGGACAGTTAGAGAGGGTTTTACAAAGCAAGTGAGTACCAGAGACACTCTGAAAGTTAAGGACAAATATATGGAATATTCTAAAGGAAAAAAGATTAGGACATCAAGAGGCTGTCCCCTGAAATAACTATCAATGTCCTGTCTTAGGAAATCCACTGGACTTCCCTGGTGGCACAGTGGTTAAGAATCCGCCTGCCAATGCAGGGGACACGGGTTCAAGCCCCGGTCCGGGAAGATCCCACATGCTGCAGAGCAACTGGGCCCGTGCGACAAAATTACCGAGCCTGTGCTCTACAGCCCGCAAGCCACAACTACAAGTAAGTCACTGAATATATCTAAACACAGAAGAAGAAATTAGGGAATCTGAAAATCCTGCCTGCCTTAAGAGTTGAGGTCTGAGTGAACTGGGCTCACTGCCAGCCCTACATAAACGTGAAAGGATCCAGTTCTTCTGACACACTGGAAGATGTAGCCCAGCAGAAGAAGGCAATTAAAGCTCTTTGCCAACAGCAGAGTGAGTCAACAGTCAAGGGAAATTCTTTTCAAACATGTTTCAGCAATATAACCTCATTGGTATTTATAGCTTCTCTTGCACTGTAATGGACGGTTACGTGATGGATCCCAGCCGATGTTCTCTCCGTGGTCTCCATTCAATATGCTAAGTAACCCATACATGAAGTAGAGACGCAGTAAGTATATCTTAAAGAGATATATCTCATTAAAAAAATTAAAGTCTTGTGTTTTTTCTTAACCAGTCTTATAAACAGTATTTCCTTATTTGCCTCTGTATATGCCCATGTAAGTGAGGGCTGTGACCAACTGTGACAGGCATGTTTATAGTACTGATGAAAACACAAATACAGATACTGAAGAGACAAAAAGCTTCAGTGACTCTGTGCTACACACACCCTTCGAACTGACCTAGAATTTTCCGGTGAGCTTTACTTTAAAATTTTAATAAACTCTGCAATTAAAAAGTTCTCCTCTTTAAAATATATAAAAGAACTGAAAACACATAGATATCATATTTTACTTGTGTGACAGAAAATTAAAAATAAAACTGACATGTTTACAACCTACATAACTATAATTAATATTTTAAAAGTTATTCATTCATCCATCCATCTATACATCTGATGAATAAAACAGCCAGATCATGGGGACATACAGGGAGGAACATGCCCTAGGCCTCAGGGATATTATAATTTTGATGCAGTGACAAAATATTGAAAACGTAATTTCAAGTGTGATGTATGTCACAAAGGGAAAATGACCTAATCTAGACTTGCAGACATAGAAAGCTTCTTCCCAGAGAGTCATGCCCAAGGTGAGACGGGCCAGAAAAACAAGAGCGAGGTGGTCCACAGGAGAGGGTAATAGAGAAGGCGCTCCGGGGCACAGAGAGTACGGGGGCGCTTGATGAGGCTGGAGAGGGAGGCTGAGGCAGGATAGTGCATGGTGAGGATCTTTACTTTTATCTGGAGGGCTCTGAGCAAGGGATGATTCAATGTTCATTTTCTAAACTTCAGAAAACTACAGAAAACAAATTATGACATGGTGAACTATTATAAGGCAATCACACTTATAACACACAATCCAGCCAAAGAAAGAAAACTTTACCAAGCACCCCAGAAGCCCTCATGTACCCCTTCCTAATCGTAGCCCCTCCTTCCTTCCAAAAGTAACCACTATCTTGAATGTTATAATAATCTTTTTTTTTCATTTCTTTTGGGTTTTCACACAAAAATACATTCACAGACACTCTAATTACGAACTCGTGGATTTTAACATACTTGATGGATTTCGATCCACTGACATTCTTATTCTTATTGAATTTCAAGTTGTCCCACTTTTGGTTGGTCAGAGTCTCATCAAAGTTCTTTTAACATATCTTTGATAGCTTCCTTGTTATTGGTATGCCAAAATATTTCAGGACCATCTAGTATACTTCTTGTCCCAGACTTGGTATCAGCCATTTCTCTAAGAACCCTTCTCTTAGTGGGATTATTTCAATATAAGAATGCTCAATATGACTAGGTTGTTCAGTTTCTAGGTCTTTTCAGCAGACAGAGCTAGGATACAATCACTTCTTTGCATTCATAGATCTATAAATATAAAAGTGCTTATATGTGGAATGTAAAAGAAATCAAGGAGTCAAGAATCACTTAAAATTTTTGACCTGAGAAATTCAAAGACTGGCATCGCCATTTATTGAGGTGGGGAAAACTGCAAGAAAAGCAAGTCTGGGGAAGGTAATATAAGTTTGGTTTGGACATGTTACATTTGAGATTCCTATTAGACCTCCAAGTAGAGGCACCAAGTAGGCAGCTGGATAATAAGAACGAGGAATTCAGCAGATGAGTCAGGGCCAGGAATAAATCTGACAGTCATCAGCCAATAGGAAGAGTTAAAGTCATGAGACTGGGTGGAATCGTCAATTACCTGACTGATTTTTTTCATGGGATTTAGTAAAGAGAACAACAAAAAGAAACAAGGAGAAGAAACTAAACACAACACTGTAAATCAACTATATTTCAATAAAATTTTTTTTAAAAAGAAGAAACAAGGAGAGGTTTAACAAAAGGCAGAACTAAAACTTAAGCCTTTACTTCTACTTGAAATGGTAATAACATACCTGGTAAGCAACTTCTGCTCTCACTGAATCCATGAAATCCTGATCAGTTGGGTAAAGCGCACAGGCAAACATAAAATCCTGCCATACCTATCAAATCAAATAAAAGGCAATATAGCACTTCCATAGATTTTACTGCCCAGAAAGAAATTCTTCATTCTGAACTTTGGGCATTATCTTTCATGCAAATGAAAAATCAACTTAGCCCGATGAGTGTGATCATTTGAGCATCACAAAGCATGAGGTACTGGGAAAGGCACTCACAGACTCTCTGGAACTGTAGGGAAACCTGAGAAGAGAAAATGTTAGGTAGGCAGAAAAGAAAAAGAAGAAAAGGGAATTCAAATAATGAAACAGTGCTTGTGCTGAGGGGAATATGAAATTCAGTAAGAAGCTTTCTCCCAACCCCTCCTCACTCCTGATTCACTCTGATTTTCACCAGGAATTTGGTACTGAGTGATGGCCCAGACTGTTAAGAAACATATTTTGTTTATAAAGGAATTAACTTCATGGCCAAAAGGATTACTACATGGACAGTTTAGAAATGAAACCACTTAAGTGCATTGCTAGGGAGGCCATTACGACGCAGTAGTTGGCCTGACTCAGAACATCAGTTCCACCATATACCCACTGTGTGAGTTTGGGCTAGTTAACTTCTCCACGTGTCAGTTTTCCTACCTGTAAAATGGGGATAGAGAACAACAGTAACTACCTCAGAGAGTGGGCATGAAGCTAAAATAAAATAATAGCTGCAGAGCACTGAGAACAACGCCTGGAATATTACAGAATATTGTCACATCATCATGACCATGAGCATTGTCAATATTATTAAAATTACTACTCTGCTATGAAGTGCTTTATATTTTAGAACTGTAATACTAGAACTAAAAGACTATATTTCCTTTGCTTAACCCTCACCAATGCAAACTGTGTTCAGAGTACTTAATGACAATATTAAGCACAGCTATTAAAATTTAATTTTATCATTTTTCTTCTCTCTAGGTCTTGTTAGATCTCCTTAAAGTTAAAACTTTTTAATATTTTATTTTCTTTTTTATGCTTACCCTCCTATCACAAAGATAATTACAAAGAAAATATAGATATATGCTTAGATATAACCAATACGCAGAATGTCTATCATTTAAAATAATTATGATATTCACTATCAACTATGGCTCAGGGTTTGCGAGATGCCATTTATTCCTTTGCAGAAAAGTGGAACATCATTCCTGGCTCTGAGAAAAGAAGGAATGGGCTATGATATCACTTATACGTGGGATCTAAAATATGACACAAATGAATTTATTTATGACACAGAAACACAGACATAGAAAACAAACTTATGATTATCAAAGAGGAAGGAGCTGGGGAAGGATAAATTAGGAGTTTGGGATTAGCAGATACAAACTACTATATATAAAATAGATAAACAACAAGGTCCTACTGTGTAGCATAGGGAACTATATTCAATATCCTGTAATAAACCATAAAGGAAAAGAATATGCATATATATGTATAACTGAATCACTTCACTGTACACCTGAAACTAGCATAACATTGTAAATCAACTACACTTCAATGAAAAAAAAAACACAAAGGAATAGGCAATATCACCCACTCAGAACACTGGAGGTCAAACTGAGGATACAGTAACAAATCAACAAAGAAAATAATGAGCTGTCAATTACTCACCATTATTCCCAGTTCATCACAGAGTTCATAGAATTCATCCTGCTCATAAATTCCTCCTCCCCAAACCCGGAGAGCATTCATGTTAGCATCCACAACAGACTGCAAAAGGAGCCGTAATCTACAGAAGAAGTTTTAAAAACAAATGCCAATTTGAAACCTTGGGGATGTTAAAAAAAAAAAAAAAAAGATAAAAAAACCACATTGTGGTTGATAAACACATTTCAAATAGCTGTTAGAAGGACACATTTTTAAATAATGATGGTTTGGATACAACGCTAAGTGAAGAAAGTGAGACAAAATTATATACACATTAACTGTGACCACATTAAATAAACAAACCTACAGAAAAATTACGGGTGAAATCTTTTCTCTGCCTTCCAAATTTCAGTCATGCTATTACACTATTTTTAAAACTAAATTTTTGTTTGTTTTCTTTTTGTTTTTTCTATATGTATTTTTTAATATCTTTATTGGAATATAATTGCTTCACAATGTTGTGTTAGTTTCTGTTATACAACAAAGTGAATCAGTATACATATATCCCCATATCCCCTCCCTCTTGAGCCTCCCTCCCACCCTCCCTATCCCACCCCTCTAGGCCAACACAAAGCATTGAGCTGATTTCCCGGTGCTATGCAGCTGCTTCCCACTAGCTATTTTACACTTGGTAGTGTATATATGTCAATGCTACTCTTCCACTTCATCCCAGCTTCCCCTTCACCCCCTGTGTCCTCAAGTCAGTTCTCTACATCTGCGTCTTTATTCCTGCCCTGCCACTAGGTTCATCAGTACCGTTTCTTTAGATTCCATATATGTGCATTAGCATACAGTATTTGTTTTTCTCTTTCTGAATTACTTCACTCTGTATGACAGACTCTAGGTCCATCCACCTCATTACAAATAACTCAATTTCGTTCCTTTTTATGGCTGAGTAATATTCCATTGTATATATGTGCCACATCTTCTTTATCCATTCATCTGTCGATGGACACTTAGGTTGCTTCCATGTCCGGGCTATTGTAAACAGAGCTGCAATGAATATTGTGGTACACGACTCTTTTTGAATTATGCTTTTCTCAGGGTATGTGCTCAGTAGTGTGATTGCTGGGTCATATGGTAGTTCTATTTGTAGTTTTTTAAGGAACCTCCATACTGTTTTCCATAGTGGCTGTAACAATTTACATTCCCACCAACAGTGCAAGAGGGTTCCCTTTTCTCCACACCATCTCCAGCATTTATCATTTGTAGATTTTTTGATGATGGCCATTCTGACTGGTGTGAGGTGATACCTCATTGTAGTTTTGATTTGCATTTCTCTAATGATCAGGAATGTTGAGCATGCTTCCATATGTTTGTTGGCAATCTGTATGTCTTCTTTGGAGAAATGTCTATTTAGGTCTTCTGCCCATTTTTGGATTGTGTTGTTTCCTTTTTTGATATTGAGCTGCATGAGCTGCTTGTAAATTTTGGAGATTAATCCTTGTCAGTTGCTTAATTTGCAAATATTTTCTCCCATTCTGAGGGTTGTCTTTTCGTGTTGTTCATCGTTTCCTTTGTTGTGCAAAAGCTTTTAAGTTTAATTACGTCCCATTTGTTTACTTTTGTTTTTATTTCCATTTCTCTAGGAGGTGGGTCAACAAGGATCTTGCTGTGATTTATGTCACAGAGTGTTCTGCCTATGTTTTCCTCTAAGAGTTTTACAGTGTCTGGCCTTACATTTAGGTCTTTAATCCATTTTGAGTTTATTTTTGTGTATGGTGTTAGGAAGTGTTCTAATTTCATTTTTTACATGTCCAGTTTTCCCAGCATCACTTGTTGAAGAGACTGTCTTTTCTCCATTGTATATTCTTGCCTCCTTTGTCAAAGATAAGGTGACCATACGTGCGTGGGTTTATCTCTGGTCTTTCTACCCATTTCCATTGATATATATTTCTGTTTTTGTGCCAGTACCATACTGTCTTGATTACTGTAGCTTTGTAGTATAGTCTGAAGTCAGGGAGCCTGATTCCTCCAGCTCCGTTTTTCTTTCTCAAGATTGCTTTGGCTATTCGGGGTCTTATGTGTTTCCATACAAACTGTAAAATTTTTTGTCCTAGTTCTATGAAAAATACCATTGGTAATCTGATAGGGATTGCACTGAATAGAACTACCATATGACCCAGCAATCCCACTACTGGGCATATATCCTGAGAAAACCATAATTCAAAAAGATACATGTACCACAATGTTCATTGCAGCACTATTTACAATTGCCAGGACATGGAAGCAACCTAAATGCCCATAACAGATGAATGGATAAAGAAGATGTGGCACATATGTACAATGGAATGTTATTTTCTGCATCTATTGAGATGATCATATAGTTTTTATCCTTCAGTTTGTTAATATGGTGTATCACATTGACTGATTTGCATATGTTGAAGAATCCTTGCATTCCTGGGATAAACCCCACGTGATCATGGTGTATCATCCTTTTAATGGGTTGTTGGATTCTGTTTGCTAGTATTTTGTTGAGGATTTTTGCATCTATGTTCATCAGTGATACTGGCCTGTAATTTTCTTTCCTTGCGACATCTTTGTCTGGTTTTGGTATCAGGGTGATGTTGGCCTCATAGAATGAGTTTGGGAGTGTTCCTCCCTCTGCTATATTTTGGAAGAGTTTGAGGATAGGTGTTAGCTCTTCTCTAAATGTTTGACAGAATTTGCCTGTGAAGCCATCTAGCCCTGGGCTTTTATTTGTTGGAATATCGTTAATCACAGTTTCAATTTCATTACTTGTGATTGGTCTGTTCATGTTTTCTATTTCTTCCTGTTTCAGTCTTCGAAGGTTGTCCTTTTCTAAGAATTTGTCCATTTAATCCAGGTTGTCCATTTTATTGGCATAGAGTTGGTTGTAGTAGTCTATAACACTTTGTATTTCGGCAGTGTCAGTTGTTACTTCTCCTTTTTCATTTCTAACTCTGTTGATTTGAGCCTTCTCCCTTTTTTTCCTGATGAGTCTGGCTAATGGTTTATCAATTTTGTTTATCTTCTCAAAGAACCAGCTTTTAGTTTTACTGATATTTGTTATTGTGTCCTTCATTTCTTTTTCCTTTATTTCTGATCTGATCTTTATGATTTCTTTCCTTCTGCTAACTTTGGGGTTTTTTTGTTTTTCTCTAATTGCTTTAGGTATAAGGTTAGGTTGTTTATTTCAGATTTTTCTTATTTCTTGAGGTAGGATTGTATTGCTATAAACTTCCCTCTTAGAACTGCCTTTGCTGCATCCCATAGGTTTTGGGTCATCGTGTTTTCATTATCATTTGTTTCTAGGTACTTTTGATTTCCTCTTTGATCTCTTTAGTGATCTCTTGGTTATTTAGTAGCGTATTGTTTAGCCTCCATGCGTTTGTATTTTTTATAGTTCTTTTCCTGTCATTGATATCTAGTCTCATAATGTTGTGGTCAGAAAAGATTCTTGATATGATTTCAATTTTCTTAAATTTACTGAGGCTTGAGTTGTGACCCAAAATGTGATCTATCCTGCAGAATGTTCCGTGTGCAGTTGAGAAGAAAGTGTATTCTGTTGTTTTTGGATGGAATGTCCCATAAATAGCAATTAAGTCCATCTGGTCTAATGTGTTATTTAAAGCTTGTGTTTCCTTGTTTATTTTCACTTTGGATGATCTGTCCATTGGTGTAAGTGGGGTGTTAAAGTCACCCTACTATTACTGTGTTATTGTTGATTTCCCCTTTTATGGCTGTTAGCATTTGCCTTATGTATTGAGGTGCTCCTATGTTGGATGCATAGATATTTACAATTGTTATATCTTCTTCTTGGATTGATCCCTTGATCATATAGTGTCCTTCGTTGTCTCTTATAGTAGTTTTTATTTTAAAGTCTTTTTTGTCTGATATGAGTATTGCTACTCCAGCTTTCTTTTAATTCCCATTTGCATGTAATGTCTTTTTCCATCCCCTCACTTTCAGTCTGTATGTGTCCCTAGGTCTGAAGTTGGTCTCTAGTAGACAGCATATATACGGATCTTGTTTTCATATCCATTCAGCCAGTCTGTGTCTTTTCGTTGGGGCATTTAATCCATCTACATTTAAGGTAATTATTGATATGCATATTCCTATTACCATTTTCGTAATTGTTTTGGGTTTGTTTTTGTAGGTCTTTTCCTTCTCTTGTGTTTCCTGCCTAGAGAAGTTCCTTTAGCATTTGTTGTAAAGCTGGTTGGTGATGCTGAATTCTCTTAACTTTTGCTTGTCTGTAAAGCTTTTGATTTCTATGTCAAATCTGAATGAGATCCTTGCTGGGTAGAGTAATCTTCGTTGTAGGTTTTTCCCTTTCATCACTTTAAATATATCTTGCCACTCCCTTCTGGTCTGTAGAGTTTCTGCTGAAAGATCAGCTGTTAACCTTATGGGGATTCCCTTGTATATTATTTGTTGCTTTTCCCTTGCTGATTTTAATATTTTTTGTGTTTAATTTTTGTTTCATTCATATGTGTCTCAGCGTGTTTCTCCTTGGGTTTATCCTGTACGCGACTCTCTGCATTTCCTGGACTTGACTGTTTCCTTTCCCACGTTGGGGAAGTTTTTAACTATAATTTCTTCAAATATTTTCTCAGACCCTTTCTTTTTTTCTTCTTCTTCTGGGACACCTTTAATTCGAACGTTGGTGTGTTTAATGTTGTCCCAGAGGTCTCTGAGACTGTCCTCCATTCCTTTCATTCTTTTTTCTTTATTCTGCTCTGTGGCAGTTATTTCCACCATTCTATCTTCCAGCTCACTTATCCGTCCTTCTGCCTCAGTTATTCTGCTATTGATTCCTTCTAGAGTATTTTTTTTTTTTTTTTTTTGCGGTATGTGAGCCTTTCACTGTTGTGGCCTCTCCTGTTGTGGAGTACAGGTTCTGGACGTGCAGGCTCAATGGCCATGGCTCACGGGCCTAGCCACTCCACGGCATGTGGACACAAACCCATGTCCCCTGCATCGGCAGGCAGACTCTCAACCACTGCACCACCAGGGAAGCCCTAGAGTATTTTTAATTTCAGTTATTGTGCTGTTCATTACTGTTTGTTTGCTCTTTAGATCTTCTAGGTCCTTGTTAAATATTTCTTGTATTTTGTCTATTATATTTCCAAGATTTCGAATTATCTTTACTATCATTACTCTGAATTCTTTTTCAGGTACTTTGCCTATTTCCTCCTAATTTATTTGGTCTTGTGGGTTTTTATCTTGCTCCTTTGCCTGTAAGATATTTCTCTGTCTTCTCATTTTGTGTAATTTACAGTATTTGAGGTCTCCTTTCCCTCGGCTGCAGGGTCGTAGGTCCTCTTGCTTCTGTTCTCTGCCCGGTGGTGGGGTTGGTCCAGTGTCTTGTGCAGGCTTCCTGATGGGAGGGAATGGTGCCTGTGTTCTGGTGGGTGAAGCTGAGTCTTTTCCCTCTGGTGAGTAGGGCCGTGTCAGGTGGTATGCTTTGGGGTGTCTGTGAGCTTAGTATGGCTTTAGGTAGTCTGTGTGCTGATGGGTGCATTTGTGTTCCTGTCTTGTTGTTTGTTGTGAGGCGTCCAGCACTGGGAGCTGCTGGCAGTTGGGTGAAGCTGGGTCTTGGATTCAGATAGAGGCCTCCGTGAGAGCTCTCCGAGATTAATCTTCCCTGGGGCTGGGAATTCTCTACTGGTCCAGCATCCTGGACTCAGTGTTCCCACTCCAGAGCCTCAGGCCCGACTTCTGGTCGAGGGACCAACACCCTGCAAGTCGCTTGTCCCGGCAATAAAGGGGTTTAAAAAAAAAAAGAAAACAAAGTCTAACAAAACCCCAGACAAATGGTAAAAAGTAAAATCAAACAAATAGAAACAGAAACAAGGAAATGCTCACACACAAAAGAAGCAAAAACAGAACCAAGTAAAGCAAATAGCAAGAGAATAACCAGACAAACAAAAGAACCCAAGACAAAATCAAGCAATTAAGAAGAAAGCCGACAAAAACCCAAAACCAAAAAACAAAACCACAGCAGAGTGCCAACCGAAGAATGAAGCAAGGAAACAAAACTGAAAAAAATGACATTTTAAAGAAGAAAAAGAAGAGAAAGAGAAAGGGGAAAGAAGACAGAACAGAAAAGCAACATAGAAACAGAAATCTAAAAAAGTAATAATAAAGTAGAAAATATATTTAAAAAAAAAAGACAAACAAAACCCCAGAGAAATGTTAAAAACAAAACCAAACAAACAGAAACAAGGAAATACACACACACGTAAAAGAAACAAAAACAGAGGCAAATAAAACAAAAAGCAAGAGAACAACCAGACAAATAGAACTCAAAAATGAAATCAACTAGGATTAATACTAACAGAAACACATAACCTAAAAACAAAACCAAAGCAGTGTGCCCACTGAAGAATAAAGCAAGGAAATAGAACAAACTGATAACAATGATTTAAAAATAATAATAAAATAAAAAGGGAAAAAACACAGAACAGAAAAGCAAAATAGAAATGGAAATATTAAAAAAAAACTGAAGAAAAAGAGGAAGAAAAAAATTAGGGAAAAGAACACAGAACAACAGAAAAGCAAAGTAAAAATAGAAATGTATAAAAAAAAATATGTTATAAAACACAGAGATCCCAAAAGACTAAATAAAAAAAAAAAAAACTAAAACAAGAACAAACAAAAAAAGAAAGAAAAAGAAACCAAAGGAAAAATAAAAAAAGAAGCCAGAACCAACAACAGAATGAATCAAAACATAATAAAATTAATAGTAATAATTATGTTTCCCTGGGGTACCTGCTGTGAAGGTCCTTGCACACTCAGTGAGCCATAGTCCCCCTCCGCCTCCCCAGGAGCCCCTCCTCTGCCTCTGGTCTGGTCTCCAGAACTGCTGTGGGCCCTGTGGGGACCCCTCTGACTCTGATGTGGCCCACTTCCTGCGTGTGCTGCCCCCAAAGTCCACAGCTGCCAGAGCTGGACCGTTTTCATTTGTGGGAACACTCATTGTCTACTCAGATGTTCCATAGACACAGGGTCTTCCTAGCTGACCATGGGGATTTAATCTGCAGCTTGTACAGCTGATGGAAATATTTTCCATCCTCTTCCTTAGTCACCCCATCCCTGGGGTTCAGCTTTGGTTTTATCCCCACCTCTGCGTGTGGTCCACCCACAGGAGTCCGGTCCTGAGGCTGCCTTGGAGCTCTTGGGTCTGGCCCTGTGAGAACCGGGTGTAGAGGTGGTATGACTGCTTGGATCACGGGAGCCCCAGCGGCACCAAATGCACAGGGGAGCCGGCAGCCATGGGTACAAGAGATATGGCCCTAGTGAGGGCCTTTTCCAGGGCCCAGCATAAGGCATGTGAGGGCCAGCCCCGGCTGGGGTTTTTCTGGCACCCAGCCTAAGGCATGTAAGGGCCAGCCCTGAGAGGGTGGTTGTTTATTTTTTTAATTGCCCTGCAGCCAGCACGTGAGGGCCAGCTCTGAGGGGGCTTTTTTATGTCTCACAACCAGCACAAAAGAGCCAGCCCTGAGCAGGCTTCTTTTATTGTCGTCGGCAGGAGGCGACATGTGGGGAGAGAGAGATTACAATAGTGGCTCCTCCCCCTGCGTAGGACTCAGCAGTAGTCCCCTGCTTCCATGGCTGTCCAGTCTTCCTCCATAGGAATTCCCTGCTGCGGATTTCTTCCCTCCCGTCCTCTCAGTCCGTCTCCCCACAACCAACAGCAGTTCTCGCTCTGGGCCTGTTCTCCAATCCCCACACACCAGCTCCCAGCCCCCTTGCACACCTGTGAACACACATCCCAGTGCGGGGCACATAGGGCTGAGGTATGGACCGTCTGTGTAGTTCTCACTCTGTTCCGTCTGCCACAGATCAGCAGCTTCAAGCTCTTCCGACAGCGTCAAATGCTTCCATTCTGTCCCAGTGGATTTCCCCATCGGAGAGGGGGTATCCCCATTACAGAGGGGGTTTCTCCGCATTTGGGAATCTCTCCTCTGCTTCAGCTCCCCCTCCCAAGGGTGCAGGTCCCATTCCGCTTCCTCTCCTCCTCTTTCTCCCTTCCTTTTTTCCATCCTACCCAGTTATGCAGGGATCTTTATAGTCCTTTACATTGTCCAAGGTCTTCTGCTAGTTTTCAACTGACGTTCAGTGAGAATTGTTGCATCTGTAGATGTATTCCTGATGCATCCATGGAGAGAGATGAACTCCACGTCTACCTACTCCTCCGCCATCTTGAATCCTCCTAAATTTTTGTCTTAAAGTTACTCCTGTAGAAAAATACTGTAAACCTTGGAAAGTATGTGCTTATTTTATATAACCATTTCAAACTATATGATAAAAATCAAATTTTGAATATTAGTATTTAGCTCTCTCTCATTCCTTTTTACAATTCCTCCAGTCCAGTATTCCTTTATCTAGTAAACTTCCTTTCTGCGTTTCCAATTTCTATTGACATCACCCTCAGGTAAGTACAGAAATTTGCAGCCACGTTGAGAGTATGTACCCTCCATTTCCAGAACAGCATTCAGAAAGGAAGGAGAAAGGCCAATAACAGGATGACCACACACTCAGAGCACTGTGCTCCCAGCAAAGCCACCTATGGGCAGGTTTACTAATTGACCCAACTGTGCTGTACAGCCACTGCCAACCTGCCAGGAGTGGAAAGGAGCATTTGAAAAGGAGAAGAGTCAGCAAATTATCTGTGTTGTGTCTGGAGAATGATTGCATTTTCATATGAAATTCAAAACATTATACACATTTTGAAGTAAAAGGATATTACTACAACTTTTGGCAAAATTAGAGTTTACTTACCAGCCACATCTACATTCTAAACATAAGATATACGTCAATGCATGTTTGTACATTTAAATAAGTTAAATTTGTTTATTTTCACTTCACAAAGCTTATTTTCACTGTTACAAAGATAGTAGTTTATAAACCTAATCAGGAAATACTTTCTTGTTAAATTCTATTCTCAAAGCTTCAGAAAAACACTTTGAATTTTTAAATTTCTTTAGTTCTCTTTATTAAGGTAAAATTGAAAGACTGTGCAAATACCTTAGCATGAAAAGGTAAATATGGGTTCCTATTTCTTTTTAAGTGTGCAAAAAAAAAAAAGGCATTCTTCAAAAAAAAAAAACAAAAAAATCCAAATTTAATCATATTTTTCCCCCAAAGGGGCTAACTATCCAAAATGTGCATTAGTCATTTTCTTGTTCCTCTAGAAAAAATCTATAAACGTTGGATGATTTCAGCAGTCTCAAATAGTTTAGCTGTAAGACTACCTATAGCTCATGAGAATGAAATAAATGATTTTAAAATCCTTTCTAAAATTTCCATCATCCTAGAATTATATATTACCTCTTGGTTCCTTCCACTGGAACTAAAAAAAGTTAAAATGAGTAGCTCTTAAGCTCTGTGGGACTGATAATATGAAGAGGAACAAGAAATAAAAGATGATAACTTACAAGGCAGAGGTTACTCGATCCTGGAATGAATCTGGGGGAATCCAATTCGAGCCTTTCAGAAATATTGGAAGTCCATTAATTTTGAAGTAGAAACTCAGACCACGGGATCCTTTTATGGGCTCTTCTATGAGTTCCACTGTCCTAAAATAAACCTGTTATTAACAGAATTAAATAATGAATATGAAATTTAAAACATAAGCATATGACAAAACCAAACTGTATTGTTTACTATAGCCTTAAAAAAATAAGCAAAAGAGTTTTTTTTTTTTTTTGCGGTACGCGGGCCTCTCACTGCTGTGGCCTCTCCCTCTGCGGAGCACAGGCTCCGGACGCGCAGGCTCAGTGGCCATGGCTCACGGGCCCAGCTGCTCCGCGGCATGTGGGATCCTCCCAGACCAGGGCATGAACCCCTGTCCCCTGCATCGGCAGGCGGACCCTCAACCACTGTGCCACCAGGGAAGCCCCCAAAAGAGATTTTTTTTAAAGTAAACTTCTGAGCAGTTTACAGGAACATAAATTAGTGTTAATTTTCTATCTGCTATGAAGTACTTAATATGGAAGTGCACATTTTAGAAAAAATATATATAAAGAAATTATTGCCAGGTCCTGTTATTTCTCTTTGAAAAGAAAAATACAGAAACCATTGAAGAGTGAAATATACTGTAGCCTTCCCCAAGATGTAGGCATTTGCAATTATGTCAAAAGAAATATATTTGAGATAACACTTCAAAATTAAAATAAAAACTGATACTATTTCACAAAAGTGGGGAAAATATGTCACCAGTTAATCTGATGCATCTTTGAAAAACACATTCTCATTTCAGTGTTATTAAAATGTGCCAAAACATGAATTTTAGAATCAAAGAAATACAATACAAGGTATTTCATAATCTAACAACTTTCCAGTTTTGATAGCACATTATTATAAAGTCATTTTGCTTAATGGGCAATTTAGTCCTAACTAATTATCACATCAAACTCAATGTCTGAGACAGCACTGGTATGGAGACTGGAGATGTAAGTGGTGCTCCAACTGGAAGAAAAGATGGAAGCACACAGTCCAGTGTTATCCTTGCTACGTGAGAAGAAGCTGAGACCTTTGTCCCTGTGACAGTCCAGCCAGGTTTCCCTACAGTTAAGAAGTGAGCAGCAAGACCCTAGATAGCAAAGATTGACACTCTTATCCAAATCTTCATTCTTTCCAGCCATAAACTGGATCAAGTACTGAGAGACACATTTCTATACCAACAAAGCCCTGTCTTTAAACCAAGATTATGCATTTCTTCTCTAGTTAAAAATAATTAATAAATCAACTTATTTCGTGTAATAAAAGGTCCACCATTCTTCCACTTTCTGACTCTTGCCCTAATTAATATGACATGACAAAAGATATCAGAGTTAACTTTATGAGAAGCCACGGAACAAGGCCTGGATGAGGAGGATCTTGACATGGAATTACTACACCTGTTTTAGGATGCAAAAAAATAATGGTTACTGCCAGAGGTAACTTTTTTTTTTTTTTGCGGTACACGGGCCTCTCACTGTTGTGGCCTCTCCAGTTGTGGAGCACAGGCTCCGGAAGTGCAGGCTCAGCGGCCATGGCTCACAGGCCCAGCCACTCCGCGGCATGTGGGATCTTCCCGGACCGGAGCACGAACCCGTGTCCCCTGCATCAGCAGGTGGACCCTCAACCACTGCACCAACAGGGAAGCCCCAGAGGTAACTTTTAAAACATCTTGATGGTAGATTCAAACATCTAGAACAGCAGTTCTTTAAATGTGGCCAGGGGACCATGAGATCCCTGGGAACCTTTCAAGGGGGTTCCTGAGTTCAAAATTATTTTCACAGTAAAGCTAAAACATCATTTGCCTTTTCACTCTTACTCTCTTTTGAGTGTACAGTGGAATTTTCCAGAAGCTATGTGATGTGTAATGACATGGTCATTCTGACAGCTAATGGAATGTGTGCTTGTGTATTCTGGTGTGTTCTACTTCTCTAGCAGAGGTTGAGGGTATGAAGAGGTACATTTCCAGAGATTAACTCAATTTGTTCTCAGTACTATTGTGCTCTTACTAGCTGCCGCTGGTTATTCCTGCTATGATCTCTGTAGCCTCATTACTGTTCAATAAATTCTTATTTTGAATCTCAAAGTTTTCCTTGCAACTTACACAAAAACACAAAAGGACTAGGTACTTTTGTTAACTGTTTCATGTAATATTCTTAAGTTTTCAAATAAAAACAAATTTTAATTGAGACTCATTTAAACAATATTTTATCTCATTCTAAAAGAAAACTTACTTTTAATATGCTTTTCCCTAATTTTTGTCTTAAATTGTTGTCTTAAAATGGGATTAGAAGACTAACATTCTCACCTACAACCACACTGTCTACATTTAAAAGTGCTGAAAAAAATGAACCTGACATATCAGAGAGTCTTCTGACTCAAGGAAGGGAGGAATCTACTCCAAAGAAACTGGGTGAAATGATAAATAAGAAATGAGATTGTGATGAAAGCCATACTGCCCTCCACTTTGTAGATGTTAATAATTTATCTTATTGTATCTTATGCAATGGAACACTTAAAAATAATATTTATGGTGCCAGTTACGTTGTAGTATCATTTTGAGACCAATCATTCTAAGTATAAAGAAAAAGAAACTGAATATTTTAAACTTAGACGGATAAACTCTTCAAAAGGCTAACATTCTTTATTACGTTGTAATACATTGTTTTACATCGTATTATAATGTTTTAAAAACTAGCAATGACAAAAAGCACTAGAGTATCTCATAGGGTTGGTTTTCACACTGCATTTGCTGGAGAAGCACACATATTAGCTGAGAGAGTTTTACAATGGGTAACACTGCTGGTGCCATGGCAAAAATCAAGGCAGTGCCTCCAAACTGTGCTAGTAGCCACTGTATCCTTCACTTTCATGCATTATTGGAGCGGGAGCGGTGGGGGGCAGTTTCACTTCAGGATGTCCTTGATAAAGCAATAAAAATTATTAATTCTATTAAACCCCAACCTTGAGTACACATCACTGTACTAGACTGTATGATGAAATAGGAACTATGAATAAAGCATCACGCACGATGGATGTCTTAAGGAAAAGTATCTGGGCCACAGTTTGAGTTGTAAGCTGAATTAGCCATCTGGTTTATAAAACCTGGTTCTTTTAACTTGAAAGAACTTCCAGACAAACTATGGTTATTCAGACTTGGTGACTTGGTAGACATTTTCTTGAAAATGACTGAAGTGAGTCTTGTCAGTTCAAGGCAAGTAACAGTTAAAAATTAGGATTTAGTAAAACTTGTATACACAACCATGAGCTTGACAGCTTCCCAAAAGTCATCAATGGTAATGTTAACAAATTTGAATGTGATTTATATACTAAAATGGTTTAACATTTGAAAACATTTAAAAATCTCTAGACGCCAACATTTTTCAAATAACCAATGTATTATATTACAATAACATATATGGATAAAAAATCCATTATGGGAAGCAAGAAGAACTACAATCCTTCAGCCTGTGGAACAAAAACCACATTCACAGAAAGACAGACAAGATGAAAAGGCACAGGACTATGTACCAGAAAAAGGAACAAGATAAAACGCCAGAAAAACAACTAAATGAAGTGGAGATAGGCAACCTTCCAGAAAAAGAATTCAGAATAATGATAGTGAAGATGATCCAGGACCTCGGAAGAAGAATGGAGGCAAAGATCGAGAAGATGCAAGAAATGCTTAACAAAGACCTAGAAGAATTAAAGAACAAACAAACAGAGATGAACAACACAATAACTGAAATGAAACCTACACCAGAAGGAATCAATAGCAGAATAACTGAGGCAGAAGAATGGATAAGAGACCTGGAAGACAGAATGGTGGAATTCACTGCTGTGGAACCGAATAAAGAAAAAAGAATGAAAAGAAATGAAGACAGCCTAAGAGACCTCTGGGACAACATTAAACACAACAACATTCACATTATAGGGGTCCCAGAAGTAGAAGAGAGAGAGAAAGGACCAGAGAAATATTTGAAGAGACTATAGTCGAAAACTTCCCTAACATGGGAGAGGAAATAGCCACCCAAGTCCAGGAAGCGCAGCGAGTCCCATACAGGATAAACCCAAGGAGAAACACGCCAAGACACATAGTAATCAAATTGACAAAAATTAAAGACAAAGAAAAATTATTGAAAGCAACAAGGGAAAAACAACAAGTAACATACAAGGGAACTCCCATAAGGTTAACAGCTGATTTCTCAGCAGAAACTCTACAAGCCAGAAGGGAGTGGCATGATATACTTAAAGTGATAAAAGGGAAGAACCTACAACCAAGATTACTCTACCCAGCAAGGATCTCATTCAGATTTGATGGAGAAATCAAAAGCTTTACAGACAAGCAAAAGCTAAGAGAATTCAGCACCACCAAACCAGCACTACAACAAATGCTAAAGGAACTTCTCTAAGTGGGAAACACAAGAGAAGAAAAGGACCTACAAAAACAAACCCAAAACAATTAAGAAAATGGTCACAGGATCATACATATCGATAATTACCTTAAACGTGAATGGATTAAATGCTCCAACCAAAAGACACATGCTTGCTGAATGGATACAAAAACAAGACCCATATATAGCTGTCTACAAGAGACCCACGTAAGACCTAGGGACACAAACAGACTGAAAGTGAGGGGATGGAAAAACATATTCCATGCAAATGGAAATCAAAGAAAGCTGCAGTAGCAATACTCATATCAGATAAAATAGACTTTAAAATAAACAATGTTACAAGAGACAAGGAAGGACACTACATGATGATCAAGGGTTCAATGCAAGAAGAAGATATAACAATTATAAATATATATGCACCCAACACAGAAGCACCTCAATACATAAGGCAACTGCTAACAGCTATAAAAGAGGAAATCGACAGTAACACAATAATAATGGGGGACTTTAACACCTCACTTACGCCAATGGACAGATCATCCAAAATGAAAATACATAAGGAAACAGAAGATTTAAATGACACAATACACCAGATAGATTTAATTGATATTTATAGGACATTCCATCCAAAAACAGCAGATTACACTTTCTTCTCAAGTGCACATGGAACATTCTACCGGATAGATCACATCTT